CCCATCACCACCAACTCCTCACCACCATCACCACCAACTCCTCACCACCATCACCACCAACTCCTCACCCCCATCACCACCAACTCCTCATCACCATCACCACCAACTCCTCACCACCATCACCTCACCACATCACCACCAACTCCTCACCCCCATCACCACCAACTCCTCACCACCATCACCACCATCACCACCAACACCTGCCCTTCCCCGACTCCACACTACCTCGTCTCCTTCCCCCCCCCTCCCCTCCTCCCCCGGCTCACCTTAAAGTGTATGTTGAGTATCGTGTTGAACACGCCCAGCTCGCCCGCGCAGCTCAGTTCGGTCGCCTGCGGGTAGAGGGCGCAGCGGCGGTAGAGTCCGAAGTGTCCGACGCCGGGCGAGTCGCGCGTGTCGCCGAGCCAGTGCGCGTCGACGAACGCGACGAGGTTGACGATCGCAAAGCAGACGGTGAAGACGCCCCACAGCACGCCGATCGCGCGCGAGTTGCGCACGTACTTGGCGCGGTACGTGTGCGTCACCTTGTCAACCTCCATCGTGTGGTCGTGTGCGGGTGCACGGGGGAGAGTACGGGGCTGTGTCGCAGAGGTCCTTCAATCGTGCAAAGGTAAAAGGTTGGACGGTTGATCATCAGAAACCAACAACAAGAAGAGCAACAACATCATTAACAAATACAGCAACAACAACAACAACAACAACAACAACGACGACGACGACGACGACAACAGCAGCAGCAACAACGACATAACAAATGCAACAACAACAACAACAGCAGCAGCAATAACAACAACAACAACATCAACCAACGACAGCAACAACAACATCAACAACATTATCAACAACATCATCATCATCAACAATAACAGAGACAACAATAACAACAACAACAACAACAAGAGCAACAACACCATTAACAAATACAACTACAACAACAACAACATCAACCAACGACAGCAATAACAACATCAACAACAACATAACAAATACAACAACAACAACAACAACAACAACAACAACAACAAAAGCAACAACATCATTAACAAATACAACAGTAAAAACAACAACAGCAGCAGCAGCAACAACAACAACAACATCAACAACAGTGGCAGGTCGATGTGACAGTGGTTGTCACGAGGCCGTGTTGCGGAGGTTCCCTGCCGTCGCCAATATGAAAACGTAAACATTAGATAGTGAAGACGTCCCCTCAACACCCTGCGCATGACCACGCACAAGTTATCATTAACAGGGCGAGTTGTCAACTTAGTGCTCAGTACAGATCGAGGTCAGACCATAGATATATACAAACACATAGATATATACAAACACACGCAGGGGCATGTACAGGGGTGGGGGGTCCGGACCCCACCCCCCTGCTCGCGCAGAAAACGGATCTGAGGGGGTCTAATTTCAACATTTTTCTGGGGGAGGGCCCCCCAGATCCCCCCTTCGCGTGTTCGCAAGTTTGGGTTACGGTTAGACGCCCCTCTCCCACCCTGCTACAAATCCTGTACACGCCCCTGACACGTGTTTGTATATATCTATGGTCAGACGCAGGAGGAACGGTAAAGACGATCGATCGGCAATAAATCAACAACAAACACTAAACAGTACATTTAACTTGACGCCCAATAATTATAAACAGGCAGAAAACCATTAGCGGTGTCACGGGCTGATATATATCCAACTTCTAGCAACCTCCACTCCCAAACATTCCTCCACGGAGCTACATTATTACTGATGTAGGTCTATATACCTTATCATATATCAATCTATGTCTATCGATGTGTGTACATGTGTTTCAGACATAACCATACACAACTCATGTAATGACACAGATCTTCGCATGAACACGATTGTTTCTTAAAACTTTTGAGTCACAGCTATGGAGAGTTATGGCCTTGAGTGCAGCTTGCAATTTCAGCATGGCCCAGATACACGTACCCTCTGCTCATATATACCCTCCCACACACTCACGCAACCTGCGTGTTAATTAACCAATTTTTATTTTGACTACGTACACACCCGAGTCTTGTAAGCAAACGATGACGACGACATAGCACCTTATTGCAGACCTACCTGTCTTCGCTCCTCGAGGTTCCGACGTTTAGGTAAACTTGGTCACCGCGGTCAGTCTCTCTGTACCATCCCACACCTTATGGAGTCCACATCCCCTCTGGCGCGATACAGACCACGTAGCTGTCTATCTAACCCCAACGCCTCTCGATTTCACACACACGAAACGTGTCTTCTAGTTTTGCCTCCGGATGCGCAACCAACTCGTCTGTATGTGCTGCTGTCTATCCTACGCGTAGTCGTGCAAGGATGGCCGCACAGTGATGAGCGAAAAACAGGTTTCTGCCGCATACTTGCATGCATCCGTGCGTGTGCGCGCGCGTGTATGAATGCAGGCTGTACTACTGTCATGGCTGAACGGCTAGAGATGACTGGAGGTTATTCTCCTCTTCTGTGACCGGCAGCACCACCAATATGGCGGCGACTCGAGCGGAACCGATAGAGCCAGTACGTTGTACTCAACGCGGTTAAGAACTGCCGTGAAAGATATGAATGGGAGAGAGAGCTGCCGCGTACTAGTCTAGTGACTATACAATGTGGGCATGGGAGGTGAACTAGACCGATGTGAAGACTTCCCGTTTTTGCCCTAGTTAGACCATCGGCCGTGACAACTTTCCACGAAGCTAAACCTTCGCGAATGTTTTCAATACGACGTTAGTAAATGTAGTTCTGAATGCTCAGCTTTACCGTTGGTACGCTTTTAAACAAGACTGCAAAAACAAATACAATTTCCACCCCCCCCCCAACCGCAAGAACGAGGAAATTAAATGAAATTGTCCGTGTACATTTTAATAATCACGTCTATCAGACCGTGAATTTGTGTGAACACGCAATGATTCTGCTCGTCCGTCACCTGTGACGACGTGTACTTGTGGTGTGAATGTTTACTTAGGTTTATCTGTTACCTGTGATGAACTTAACGTGACAGCTTTTGACTGCCGACTTAGCTCTCATCCTCTGACAGCATTAAAAATGATTGGCTGGGAACAGCGGATATCATTTAGGCATCATGCACCGTGACTGCCAACAGATAACACCTACAGGAGTTCACAGCTTCCCAAGTCTGTGCAGGCTTCTCAACTAAACTTTGAGATCAATGAATCTTAAGGATGCTTTTCTTACGCGGCTATCCTGTGGGATGGTGGCCGACTGCCAACAATGACAAGAGGAATGATAAATCAGTACAAGCTGACATTCAGTGATCACCTAGCTCTTTATTATAGCCAACAGAACTTTGTACAAAATGCCACAGTCCTTCGCGATGAGTCGCGTGTGAGCCACAACGCCGACGCCACACCGGTGCTGCCATCTCTTGGTGCATCCAGTCAACAATTTACTCTTTCGCAGTTTGCACTCTCTTGTTGTGCTTCTTTGCAAAGCGCATGTTCCTCAGGAACTTGGGATCAACCTGCAGAAGTAAACAAGAAAATAGCAGCACATCAACACACCAACACATGCTTTTCTACACAGTCACTACCAGTGGACTAACCCAGCGCTGTGGTATTTAATGTGAAAGCAGCTGCGTGGCCTCGGGTTGAGGAAACGGAGATAGGCACCGCCCTATGCACCACATAGGCACGGGAAGGGATTTAACTTTATTTAACTACCGTGGAAGGTTCTGCATGCGAGTCGACAGAACGCGCGTTCCATGAGACAGGGCTACGTGAACGACACTTCAAGGAGTGCACACAGCATACCAACTCAACCTTGATCTCTGTGGTTAATCCATCATATTTACAGCAAGACAGTACTTTTCTCATAAAACCGACACCCTCTAATAGACTATACGTTGTTTCGAAACATTCATGGAGCCGTGTCCATACTTTTTTTTGACCGCTAACGAAAATATTCTGGGGACCTGAAAAGTAATTGACCGTTCTCTGTCCACATATGATGAATATGATGGCAAGTGAACCTACCCCTCTCAATGACGGATGCTTGCTGGACTTGGGCTTCTTGATCTTATTTCTGTGCTCTTTGCGATCTGTTAAGATAAGAAAACAAGAGATTTAGACACATAAATAAAAGCATATGACATTAAACATTCCTAATAATTTCATACCAAGTGTGAAAATTCACACTGAGTAACTTTCCTGCATTTAAAAAACAATTTTAACTCTAATATATATACCAGGGTATAATAATATTCTACAGGAACAAGTCTGCACAATAAGACTCAAGAAGAATGCAAAGTCCAACACACTCAATAACTGTTACAAATGCTTAGTCGTTCCTCAGAGTAGCAACACATAAGCTGCGTTCACACGAGGATTTCAGTTCCGTACAGAGCGTTCAAACGGTAAAAATATTCAATACATACGCGGCTTAGCAAGTACCGTACTGAAATACGAGGCTTATTTGGCGCGCGCTGAAACATTCAGCACCACGCTGGCCGCGTATTGTCTGTCGTGTGAACGCAATTCGAGGCCTCTTACTGTAGTGCGCTTACCTAGACTGGTACCTGTTCGCTACACGACGTTAGTGTAGCATGTGGAACTGTCGACCAGGTACCAGCCTATATTATACCTAGCCAGCTAAGCCTCGATTCTCGTGTGAACGCTCCGGGTTGTGTTAGCACGGTATTTCAGCCGAATTCAGCACCAGATAAGTACGGAACCAACAAGGACGTGAATCTCGTGTGAACGCAGCTATATATCTCTAAATACACTGTAAAAGATTGATAAAAATCTATTACGTAGTTATTTTCACAACACCAAACAAAAGAATACTCACTCTGATTGTGATTCGTGTGGTTCTTTGACTTTGCCATTTTTCCTCAGTGTCTGCAACTAAATTAATGTGAAACAATCATTAGTATAGATCTCCATCTCAATGTAGACAAGAAAACAAAATAATGCTTTAGTAAACTGCAAACAAAACTAGGTTAAATACGTTTCAAACACAGGTTAGCTCCACAGTCACTTCTTAGTTGTTTATAAATTACATTACAAAATTACCGACAAACGGTTTATTATTTCACAAAAGCCCAAACCACAACTTCATTATTGGTCCACCATGTATTGTGAATCCATTTACGTTACATGGAAACACAAAATGCCGCGAGTCCATTGGGGATTCACATATGAAGCCTGAGTGCTTACATGTGATTTTATTTAATAATTCGAGATTGCACCAATTAAATGCAGGTTATAATTAATAAATTATGAGAAACTCCAATAAACTCTCATCAGACCTGCAACTGTTGTAACTTAGATCTACTTAACTCGGCACACCCCAAACTGAAGCGATATATGCTTGCCAGCTCAGCTGGACATGTCAGCAGCAACGCTGATAGGGTCTATGTCCCCCAGGGTACTGCCGGAACATACCCTGGTAACACCTGATATGCCGGACCGTACTCGCTTACTCCCTACCCTACCCCGACTGTCCCTGTTCTGCCCACTACTGATGTCGCAAAATTTGAAATATACATACAGACCTGTCACCTGTATGATATCTTTATAAAGTTGGATTGGAGTATGAAACTGTGAAACCAAGAAGAAATTTCAACCTATATACACTGATGCGCGCAATCCTTTTGCAAATATCGCGATGATCGGGAATGTGTTTTCCTTTCGCAATGTTTACGACATTTTTGCGCGAGATTTTTGAAAGATGGCTCCAAGTGTTGTGGTGGAACAAGAAAATGTGTATGATTATCTTAATGGGTTGGAAACGTATAGACTCGCTGACACTTGTAGGAAGGGTCGGGAGGTGAAACGTAACAGGGCAAGGGTTACGAATATTTTGCGGGAACGAACCGGAAACAAGGAACGGGAGCATAAAGCTGCGCGTTTCCTGCCGACAAGCGGTATGTATTACGACATCGGCTGAAAGTCAGGGTACGGTTTGGAGTAGGCGAGGTAAGGTCCGGCATATTAGATAGTTACCAGGGTACATTCCGGCAGTACCCTGGGGGTCATAGACCCTATCAGCAGCAGCAACGTTATGATGGCCACGTAACCTAATAGTAATAGTAATAGTATTAGCCTTTGCAAATGCTGTAAATGTAAGCAAATTGCTATCATCCCTCCACTGTCACTGACGTTATTCCTTACGGACTGTCCAGTATAAAAGTAGAAGTAGAATCAGAAACATTGTGACAGTCACAGAGTGTATTGTATTTGTAATTGTGTTGATGAAGCTGCGACTCCCCGCACTAGGCAGTCTAGACCGAGATTCCTCTGACCAATGCCCACACCGACGATTTTGGTGGATTTGGTGTGGGTTAGGTCAGAGCAACTTGCCTATACAAAACGTGGAATTTCTCCGATCTCGCCGAGGATCGCTGTTTCATCGCTCCAAACTCACAATTGGGGCTATCAATCAAGACCTGACGCACATAAATCGAAAACTGGATAACTTAAATGCGTTCGTAAGTACACTTGTACTCTTTTACCTTAGTTGTATTTCGATTTGAAAATTTGTTGCTAACAATTTCCCTCCGACATCGGCCATCCATCGTCCAATGCGTGACGTCAGGTGACGTGCGCGCAAGTCACCAGTACACGCGCAAGTACATAGCGCGCACGTCACCTGGCTTCACGCATTGGACGATAGATGGCCGATGTCGGAGGGAAATTGTTAGCAACAAATTTTCAAATCGATTCAATACGACCAAGGTAAAAGAGTACAAGTGTACTTATTACATACCAACGCGAGCAATCATACAAGTTATCCAGTTTTCGATCTATGTGCGTCAGGTCTTGATTGATAGCCCCAATTGGGAGTTTGGAGCGATGAAACAGCAATCCTCTGCGGGATCGGAGAAATTCCACGTTTTGTATAGGCAAGTTGCTCTGACCTAACCTACACCAAATCCACCAAAATCGTTGGTGTGGGCTTGGTCAGAGGTAGCTCTAGTACTATAGCCCGCGTTCGATTAACTGCCGCAGGGCTATAGCACATTGTCGGCTGGAAATACCAACTGCGACCTGTTACCACCTGTCCCCATGAAAAATGGATCGCAAAAAGCAAAGTTATCGGGCTTTTTAACACTTATTTATCTACATGGACATCTCACCTATCATTTTGAACACTTTCAACAACTTTACACCATGTATTTGTCCTTTTATTCCACAAAGTAAGCACTACTGGCATTTCATTTTGAAACAAAGTGGCGTGCGCACGCGTGACGTTACCGGATATGTACGCAAAACACATGGCAGCTATGAGGCATGTATATACAATACCGGTGACGTCATGCGTGCGCACGCCACTTTGTTTCAAAATGAAATGCCAGTAGTGCTTACTTTGTGGAATAAAAGGACAAATACATGGTGTAAAGTTGTTGAAAGTGTTCAAAAGGATAGGTGAGATGTCTATACAGATAAATATGTGTTAAAAAGCCCGATAACTTTGCGTTTTGCGATCCATTTTTCATGGGGACAGGTGGTAACAGGTCGTAGTTGGTATTTCCAGCCGACAATGTGCTATAGCCCTGCTGCAGTTAATCGAACGCGGGCTATAGTACTACATTGCCCAGTAGTGTACCTACATTACCCTATAGGCTATAGGCTATAGTAGTACATAAGACTTACATTGGACAGATATGGGTATAATAATAGGCTAGGCCTAAACTCAACCCATCTAACCTTAACTAACTAACTAACTAACTATAGTACTAGAGGCTAGAGCTAGGTGAGAGGAATCTCGGACTATAGGCAGTCCGATTCATTGAGAGAACGCGACCGAGAGGCTAGTAGTTAGTGGTGGTAGTAGGCCTACTAGTAGTAGTAAGTAAGGAGTGTGTGGGTCGGCCACTGAATCATTGTCTGCTGTACCATAAATAGAATCTACATATCTCTAAAATACAGCTCGTTACAGAAGTTTACTTACAAGACAAACTATAACACGTTCTGTTTCCAAAATGAATATGGCCGAAAGGATTTATAGAAGGTTCCCACAAAGTAGATCGCGCGTTAAACCGTATTGAAAATTAATCGAAGAACCAGTCTATAACCACTTTCACTATAACGTATGCTCAGTGTTAGGAAATATATATTTTGACATTACCGACGATAGGTGGTGCTTAATTTTAGTCCAGGGACATTTTTGTTATGTGCAGTAATTAAAACATTATCTTATGATGTAATGTTATAAATAAACACACATTCTGTTAATGATGTTAAGCTGCAGGCTACGACAGAAAGTAAGCACAATTGTGATGTGTAAAGGGCCAAGCGCGTCAATAATCAAATAGAGAGTACGATCTTGTAACTTGGTTGCTAAGAGCAACCCGCAAAGCATCATCGCTCTCAAGACACGGCTGCCGCGTATATATAGTAACTATCGTGTTTTTGACAAAAATGACTAACTGAAAGCTTGCAACGCATAAAAATGTATAAATTAAATTTACCAATAGACTATAGGCAGATTGCTGCCGTAGAGAGGAGAAAAAATCGAGAACAACAGCGACAGAGCAGAATATTTAACGCCAAAGTCAGAACAATTGGGGTAAGTAGGTATCAAGGATAGTTTGTGTTTACTGTTTTTTTGTAATGTAACTAAAGTATTTGTCGTTAGACTCTATTGACTAATGATTATTGTGTGACAGTAATATGCAAAGTGTGTTAATACAGTAATATGTGTAGGTTGATATTAATGCGTTGGATCAGCAAGTAAACGAGAGAAAAGCGCGTGAAGAATGGGAGAGGCAGCACGAAGCAGAGTTTTGTAAGTATAACTATAATTCATTAATTGCTACACAGTGACAGTGCATTGTAAGTCATTTGCGTGCAAGTTGTATTGAGTGGATCATGTTCAATCCAAGCACCGTTCGTTTCATTACTGTGATTACAGGCAGTGGTCAGTGCGGCACAGTGTCATTGCAAATATCAAATTCAGGTTTTATTTATTATACCGTAACCAGTATTGTAATGTAACTGTTATTATGCATTCAAATATTTTCTTGTGAATGAGTAATTAAGAATGCATATAGAAAATACCTCGTGTTAACTGTAGTAATAAGAGGAAATGATTTATTTAAAGCCAAGGCATTGGAAAGGACAGACAATGTTGCCGTTAAGCTTCAGCAAAGGCAAGAAGAAGACGTGAGGGATCTGAATAAGGTATGGTACAAATGTTAGTCTTCAAACAGAAAAGTATACCATGTTATATTTACAAATATAACAGGCGAATGTACACATGACTGGTTTTGTGTGCGCTCCTATGCATGTCTTGAAGCATTGTGCACCTGTTATAAACATTTTTTTTTGTTCTAATGAATCTATTCCTTTCTCTTTCATCAAATGTATCATGCCGATGTTGGGATTTTGAGTTCTGTCATTGGTCAAGGACTTTCCGTCTTCAGTGGTGTACACCCCAAAATATGTGTTGGACATCTATACCAGAACTGGGCCATCATCACTGGGAATGTATGTACAGTTTTAAAGCAACTTGTTATTGAACCTGCATTTAACACGTTCGTTTGTCGTTATTAGGAGCTGAATAAGTTTCGTCTGGAGGAGCAGAACGCTAGCACGCGCCGAGAGTTTGACATCTACGACCCCGATGCCCTCAAGAAGGACAGTCCCATCAGGACGTCAGATGGCGACGACAAGGTTGGAATATCGAGGTAGCGACATCTTCTTTACAGCTCTCTGTAAACCGCACCATCAAGAGAGCCCATGAATGTGACATACATTCGTCAGCATACTAGCTACTCCTATATATCTCCTCGATGGATTTCTGAATAGTCATCATCACGCACTCTGTTTTGGTTATGGCCACATCGAAGCCACTATGCAGGAAAACTAACACATAGAACTGTAAGCAGCATACACTATCTCTTTTTAACACGGGATTACTAAAGCACTGAATGATAAACAGCACGAACCATGCCTTTTGCATAAAGGAAAGCCAGCATGTGCTAACCAATGGGCAACATCACTTCGCAACTCTAAGCAAGAGTTTTTCAAGATTCCTATAAGGCAGATTTTTTTCTGAGTCACGCTCACAGTAAAAATTCCTAAAAATAAAAAAAAATAAAAAATTGTAATTTAAAAAAATACCCGAGACCCGCGAACATCTCACGTGAACTATGGTATTCTTGCACGGCAGCTGCCAGATGTTTGATGGGGAGGACCTGAAGTATAAGGCGCGACACAAGCTTCAGCAGGAGCAGCTGAGAGAGTGGACCATGCAGCAGAACCAAGCCCAGAAAGAGGTATCCTTCCTCCATACTCTCCACCTCCTCTCATAGTCATACCTACAAATGACCCTGAGACAGGATGCTCCCTCACACCTCTTGTTCCACCAAATATCCCAGAAAGAGGTATGCTCCCTCATACCCTCTATGTACCCTTCCTTGTATCTCCAAACTGTTCAGAGACAAGGATGCCCCCTCTGGGCCCCTCATACCCTCTATGTACCTCTCCTTGTACCATCAAATAGCCCAGAGACAGGTATGCCCCCTCATACTCTCTACGTACCCCTCCCAGTACTTCCAAACAAGCCATAGATATTATGCTCCCTGAGGCTCTCTACCCCTGCTTGTCGCTCCAAACAACCCAGAGACACGTATGTCCTCTCGTACTCAACCTCCCTGCCCTTCCTCGTTGCATCTCCAAATGGCCCATAGACTAGTTATAAGTATACGCATCCTCATAAACGTCTCTCGTAAATCCCTCTCCCCGGTTCTTCCTAATATCTAAAGAAGTCATCGTCGCCCGTTGACATTGTTGGTTTGCGTGCGATGCCGTCGGGATGTTCGCAGGCTGAGCGGAGTCGTAGGGAGTCGGACCGGCTCTACGAGCGCACGATCGTGCGGCTCGACCAGCAGGCCGTCGACGTCGCGCGTGCCGACGCTGAGTGCCAGCGCGCCATCAACACCAGCCACAGGGACTTCAACGCCACGCTGGTGAGTAGCAGTTGACGCTGCCGGGGGTGGGAGCGGGAGCAGACGCAGAAGGCGACGCTTCGTCAGTGCGGCCCTGCAGTGCTCAGTCACCACTTTTGCACGGCTAAGGCTTCGTGAATCATTCCGTGCGATCGTAGTGCGTGCTTGAATTAGGGGTGGGACGATTCGTCGATATATCGATTATGTATCGCGATACAAACCTTGATGATACACGTATCGATAAGTTTGACCATCCACGATACACGCATTGATACTCTAATGAATAAATTAAAATATATATCATTTAGTGACAATAGTTTCATCAAAATACAAAAGAAACGTAACAGTTCGCAATTCGATAGCAGTTGTTAACTGAGCGCTCCACGACACTGAGGTGTTTACGGTGTTTCTCTCTCTTGCTCTCTCTTTGCATGGTGGGGGGGGCGAGGAAATTGAGAGGGGAGTAGGGACTCTCAATTCATTGTTTCTCTCTCTGCACGCGGGGGAAGGCGAGGGAGAAGGCGGAGGAGGAGAGGCAGCTGCAGCAGCGAGAGTTGGAGGAGAATACCGCTGAGCTGATGGACCACGTCTACGGCGACATGCTCACCGAGAACCCAGACGTCGCCAAGAGCGCGTTCGGCTCCCACCGCGTCATACCTGACAGGTAAGGCCCCCACCGCGTCATACCTGACAGGTAAGGCCCACACCGCATCATACCTGACAGGTAAGGCCCCCACCGCATCATACCTGACAGGTAAGGCCCCCACCGCATCATACCTGACAGGTAAGGCCCCCACCGCATCATACCTGACAGGTAAGGCCCCCACCGCATCATACCTGACAGGTAAGGCCCCCACCGCACCATACCTGACAGGTAAGGCCCATTCAAAACTACTGGAATTTATAAAATAAGAAATATAAAGCAATAAATATGTAATTATGTATAATGTAAATATGTATAAGATGTGCATGTTTTTAATCTCCTTAACCTCATCATAATGAATACCTTTCACAGTTAATCTCTGTTTTTTTCTGAATCAGAAGTTTTCATGTCCTCTATTCCATGTAATGTATCTTTTCAAGCTGTGCTAAGTCTGAAAACACTGAATTTTATTAAGTTAAGCTAGAATTTTAGTACTTGAAAAATAAAAAAGTTGTCCTTGAAATGTCCTGGAAAACTCCTTGAATTTTGTCTTGACTTATCTGTATGGACCCTGTATATAATATCATATATAAGGTGTTATATTCATACAGGTTATGTTAGACAGTTTGTAAGTAAGCTCTGTAGAATGAGCATCTGTACGTGTGACGTGTACCTTTATCAGTTCACATATGAAGCAGACGAGTAGCTGCAAATCAGTTAGCACGCGTCATGATTCGTTGCACTGCGTTAGTCTGCTTGTCATCTCAGGTGGAAAGGGATGAGTCCGGCACAGGTGTCTGAGATTCGGCGCATGCAGGAGATGCAGAGACTCGAGAAACAGGTTAGCGACAACGCGTGTCTCATTTCAGCTTCACTGTGTACACGTTACCATGATGGTTATGTCTCCTAGTAGTGATCTCTCTCTCTCTCTCTCCCTCTTCTTTTATATCTTTGTTCCCTTCTCTATATCTCTCTCTCTCTCTTCTTCTCTTTCTTTCTCTCTCTTCTTTCTTCCTTCTCTCATCTCTCTTCTCTTTCTTCTTCTCTCTCTCTC